TCCCTCTTAACAGAGTTTGAATGTCTCTAGTATATTATAAAGCTACAAACCCATTTGCCTCACTGATTGGTCACTCAGTCTGGGTCACTATAGTATTAATCAACTGTAATATGCTAATAAACTTGCCTCATTTTTTGTGTTTCTACTAAAATTTAATCTGCAGATATACTCATGATTTGAGTCCTAGCATTATATTCATGTTGTATGTAGGGTGGTGATTGGTGGAATACTTGTGTACTAACTGTGTAGTAGAGAAATCTCTTACAATATGTCTCACAACTCTCCTGGGTTTAGAGACAGTAGCCAAATTTGCTATATTTGTATATAGAACATTGGCAGAGCAGAGTGAGTCAATCACATTTATTGACTTCAGAGTTAGAAGCTTTAATGGATACAAGTTTCTAGTATTCTGTTAACAGAGAATATTTCTGTCTGTGTCAATAATATCCTGATTGGCAGCATTTTGATACTTGCAATTATTAATTAGTATCAATTTCACAACCCTTAGCAAACCAGTGATTGACATAACACAGGACTATTCCTATGGTGTACAGATTAATTGATTCTCATGTTACTTGTATTGTACAAAGCTACAGAGTACTGGAGAATGGAGGCCAGGCTTAAAGGGTTTAAGCTTGTGAAGGTTCTGATCTGTAATCAGACGATATATTTCGCACTGTGAGTTACAGAAGTACAAGGACTGTGATAGATACTGACTAATTTACTGAATAGTGCAGTATCTTGCTGTGTTTTCAACATCATGGAATTCAAAGTGAAGATAAGCAACGATAATTTAGCAATTTTCCTCCAACAACTTGGAAGCCCATCATTCCTATGCGTCCTAGGAAGTCGACTGTTCTATAACTTGAAGGAAGCTGGAAAACTGGGAGTCAACGAGGGTACAAGCTATCACATGAAATCCGTGAGCATCATTGAATTTGAAGAGCCGGTGAATAGCGAAGGTACCGTTCATACCACTACATGGAATTGCTTTACACTTACTTTCATGTAGTCAGTGCGAACGAGGTTGAAGGTTCTCAGGGTGCATCACAGGTGTAATTAGAACGTCGTGTAAACGTCCGCGCTTCTGCACTACTTTGGTTCCCAAAGCTTTTGCATTGTAGCGGTACAACTTACTTTTGTGCAGTGTCTTGATTTGGTATCACTGTTTTAGTAAATAGAGTGGATAATACGATAATATTTAGTAGCCACGCTAATGAGATGTTACGTGCGTATGCGGAGCGTCGGAGGACTGGAGCAAGCTTGGGCAGTATGAAGTATCTCTTCTCCATCCGGGTCCCCTGTGCCAGTGACGGGAATCGCGTTCCCGATGTCTGTCGTTACTACTAACACAGTATCAATGACTAGCCACTGTCGACAATGAGGGCTGTGAATAATATACGACTAAAGAGTATTGTGCTGCAAAGTGCGGATTCGATACTGATGAGGATATATGTATGCTTGTGTACGTCTGTTTATTTGAATGGAATTAGAAGTACAATACAAACAATGCATTTGTGATTCAGTAGATACACCCAATCTTACTCAGGAATCTAGTTTTCCTTTTAGGCAATACTAGTTCTCAGGCTAGCATTGTACTTTGCTTTCTTCTTCGTTTAAAGTTGACATACACTATGCTAACGTTACAATTCTCAGTATCAGGCAACCCAACAAGAACTATACCTAGGCATTAATGAAATCCATCAGCAAATTGCGGAACAGTCTAGACTCGTTCGACCTGAGTATAACGTTACAGGCTGTTTCTCCGGCCTTCGGTTTACGAGAGTAATTTAATCACCTTCTCGGCCTTCCCTTTAGATAGAAGGGAACTCTCGATTCTCAATTCTAGACGTCTTAGGAAAATGGATAACTGGATACCTAGACAACGTATGTAAATTTAGTCTAGATGTCAAGTTCGTCACCTTAGAGGGGTAACATGAGGAATCCTCAAGGCGGATGATGACTCAGTCTTCCAAGTAAATGCGTGCTGACGGGAGTAATGGGTCATGCGGTAGCTAAATATAAAAAAACACATCCGGGTGTTGTTGGGATAACTAGTGAACTGGTGACCAACCCAGCGAGTGCCTCGTTGCAATTTGCATCTTTGAATCTCGGGGTGGACAAGGAGGGCGAGAAGGGAAAAGCCAAGACCATAGATTAGTGTGTGAGTTAGAAGAGGAGAAGAGGAGAAGAGGAGAAGGGTACATGGAAAGGTACGTGTTCGAACTTTGATAGGGATAGGGAACTTTGATGACGATTTGGCGCTTGATTTCTTTCAGGTTGTTTTGTGTTTTTGGGAAGTTGGAGCGGAGAGATTGTTATCTGTATATCTGAGTTAATGAATCTGTCGCTGATGCAGGGTTAAGAGACAGACGATCATTTGGTGTGATTTGTTGCTGTATTACCGTGTTTCTGCAGGGCGGAGAAGTATGTGGGGAACTCTTGTGCATTCAATTGAATTTCTCAGTCGTATACCAATAAGCTTCTCGATCGCTACTTCACCAGCGTAGGTTACAAGGGAGAGTCTACAGACGGGAATCCGGCGCGCTCTAGTGAGTAACGCGAGCAATTGTGAGTAATGCGTCTCTTTCGATCGAATGGTCATCCCCCACAGAAGAAGGTACTTTCGTCGGACCCAATTGGCTATTGGCATGAATCGCTGGCAAAGCTGTTGATTGCGGAGAGATGGAATCCTGATAAGTAACAGGCAAGAGACGCTGAGGTCCTGAGTTGCTGAAAGCGGAGCGTAAGATCCGTTTTTCTCTCCTTGAATTGGCCGTCAGAATACCCTGCCAATATAGGACGTGAGAGAACTTTACAGAATACCACAATAGAAAAGACAATGAGGCGAAGTGGATACTCTCATTTAGGATGAGGGACTTCTTCGGCAAGAGCGTGAGACGAGGGAGCGCGTTGCCATACTGAGAATGCCGTTGCTCATCAGATCCGAGTGTAGACGACGGCAAACATGCGGCAGATCTTCTTTTTTCATTTGAATGCATCATGGGAGAATCACGAGGACTCGGCCCGTCCCGAGCATCCGAGTGTTCTCACCAGCTTCAGTGCGAAAGATAGAGACACGATTGCTCATTTCGATAAGTGCGATAACAGTGCAGCTGACAGGGACTGCTGTGAGTGGAAGACGCGGGAGGGACAAACAAGACAACAAAGCAACAACTGGCCAATAAAATAAAATAGAATTTAAATTAAAAGATGTGGCCGTGCACAGCCAGCAGGACCTTCCCAATATGGTTGAGTGCATTCTGGACGCGTGACTTATGGCAAATAGTTCCCACAGTGCAGCCGTGTCCCTAGTCGTCCCTCAGCTCGAGTGTTCTCCTCGTCGCTGTTCTCCACGACGTTTTCCTCTCCCGCCACCATGACAGAGACCGGCAGCGGAGCCGACGTGGCATTCACAGATCCCTTTTTATCGCACCTTATCGCTCTCCTCTCCGTCTACGAACTTAGTCCCGGCTCGACCCCGATCCCCCGGTACGATGGGCCAGCCAATTGGCAGACAGAGTCCATCCTCCGCTCCCTCGCAGCAATGGCTCGCCGCATGTACAAAGCAGAGGAAGGCCTCAAGCTCGCCAAAGCTGACTCCGCCTGGGAGAACACAGCCGGGCATGCAAAGAAACGCCGCAGCGTAGAACTTGATGATCGCTACTCAGAGTCTGATAATAGTAGCAGGACGCCGGATGCAACAAATGGTGTCAAGTTGGTCTATAATCGCGCCCCTTCGGCTTCTACGCTCACCGATAGCACGACTAGCAGCAGCAGCTTCAGTAACATTAACGGCCAGCGCCGTCAGTCCTCGCCTGACTCGTACACGACGACGGACTTTGATATGTGCGATGCCGATGCATTGGACACAAGCTCCGAGTCGCGAAGACATGATGCCGCTACGGCACGCGACATTCCTCGCGTCTCGCGCAAGGATAGAAAGAAGCGTCCGAAGCCGGTAGGCATGAAACTCTCACTCGAAGGACTCAAGACGTCTGTCGACCCTCACAAGATTTTCGAGCGGACTGTGCCCGAGTCGATAGGCTCGCGCAGCGTACCTGCGACTTCGGCTACTGAACATGCAGCGTGCCCAGTGTGCGGACGAGCCCTATCAGACGCGTTCCCGCCCTCGCTTGGAACAGGCGGCATTTTCGGTAATACTGGTACACCCGGCGGCAGCCCGCTAGTTGTACCCCCTGGCCCACTCGCTACTGCTGCATTCGAAAGCGGCTTAAGTGCTGTTGAAGAACTCAAACTCTTAAAGACTCAAGTGACAGATGTCTCTCGTGTCTGTCAGGCTGTTGCTCGAGGCGATCTCTCTCAGAAGATCACCGTCCCCGTTCAGGGAGTTGTTATGATCCAGCTCAAGGACGTTATCAATACCATGGTACGTGCTGTCCTAGTCAGGAATCACCCTCAAATGCTCATTCAGTGTGTGTAGGTGGATAAGCTCGGACAATTCGCGCAAGAGGTTACACGAGTAAGTCAGGAAGTCGGAACAGAGGGGTGAGTAATGAGTAATGGCACAGCCATATTTTCTTTTCGTATGTTCTACGTAATCTAACCTCCACCCAGTAAACTTGGGGGACAAGCGCTTGTGCTTGATGTGGAAGGCACATGGCGTGAACTCACTGGCGTTGTCAACAACCTTGCGGCTAATCTTACGTCTCAGATCCGTTCGATCGCAGCGGTCACGAAAGCCGTCGCACTCGGGGACCTCTCGAAACAAATCGAATTGGATGCGCGGGGCGAGATTTTGGATCTTAAAAACACGGTCAACGGAATGGTTATTCGACTTAGGGCATTGGCGGCAGAGGTAACACGTGTAACATTGGAAGTCGGAAGTCAAGGCAAATTGGGCGGTCAGGCAGTCGTACCGGATGTCGAGGGAGTATGGGAGCAGCTTACAGTCAACGTTGGTGTTTCTTCTGTTCTTTTGCGCTATTTTTATCACTGAATGGGCATCATCAATTACGTTTTGGTATACGCAGGTGAACCGCATGTGTTCGAACTTGACGGACCAAGTGCGATCGATCGCTGCTGTGACGACTGCTGTCGCACGTGGTGACTTGACACAGAAAGTGGAGATCCAAGTCGAGGGTGAAATGGCGACGTTGAAGGAAACTGTCAACTCGATGGTTGACCAATTGAGCACCTTCGCGAGTGAAGTGACGCGTGTCGCCCTTGAAGTCGGCACACAGGGAATTCTTGGAGGACAGGCCCGTGTGGAGGGAGTGCAGGGCACATGGGCAGACTTGACCCGTAATGTCAATGTATGCGTGACGTCACTCTTCTAATTCTATTCTCTTCGATGGCCATCTTGATGATTGCCGTTCTGTTCTCTGTTACGTGAACTCATACTAATTTTGATTTATTCCTCCTTTTAGAAAATGGCGAGCAATCTCACGAATCAAGTGCGTTCTATTTCGGAAGTTACGAAGGCGGTCGCGCACGGGAACTTGTCCAAGGTCGTCGATGTCGACGTACAGGGTGAAATGCTTGACCTTAAGGAGACTGTAAATAGCATGGTGGCCCAACTTTCATCTCTTGCAAATGAAGTCATCCGTGTCTCGATTGAGGTCGGTACAGAGGGCAAGCTTGGTGGACAGGCCGTTGTATCCGATGTACAAGGAGTATGGAAGGTTGGTGTTGGCTATATGCTCTCCTTTTTTTACTCAGTCTTTAACCTTCTTATTACAGAGCCTTACGGACAACGTAAACTTAATGGCCATGAATCTCACGGACCAGGTACGCTCAATTACAGAAGTGACGAAGGCCGTCGCGGGCGGCGACCTCACAAAGAAGATCACCGTAAACGTACGCGGCGAGATTCTTGACCTGAAGGAAACGGTGAACGGCATGACGGAGTCCTTGCAAGTATTCGCAGATGAAGTAACTCGTCTTGCGCGTGAAGTCGGAACTGAGGGTCGACTCGGTGGTCAAGCGCGTGTGACGAATGTTGGTGGAACTTGGAAGGACCTTACTGATAACGTGAACGCTATGGCTGCTAATGTTCGTGCGGTTAATATTTTTCTTTTGTTCGTGAACTGAATTCATCCGTTACAGTTGACGTTACAAGTGCGAACGATCGCTGTCGCTACCACAGCCGTAGCGAAGGGTGACTTGACGCAAAAGATTACTGGTGTCAGCGTCCAGGGCGAAATCTTAGACCTCGTAAACACTATCAACGGCATGATTGACCAGCTTGCTATGTTCTCCGCCGAAGTTACGAAAGTCGCACGAGAAGTCGGAACGGAAGGCAAACTAGGTGTACAAGCGGAAGTTGGTAACGTCCAAGGCACATGGCAAGAAATCACGTGCGTATCTTCTAGTCTCTATACTATACATTTCCTTTCCTTGAGAACGTATTTTCTGACGCTTTCCCGCACATGTTTCTCCGGCGCTTGTGGCTACAATTCATTCTACCCGCGAACCATTTTGCCTTTGTGATCGGCTTTTGGCGGAATTAGTATGGCCGTGAACACGATGGCTGGGAACTTGACGACACAAGTGCGAGGCTTCGCGCAGATCAGCGCGGCGGCCATGGACGGCGACTTTACTCGATTCATCACTGTCGAGGCATCTGGTGAAATGGACTCCCTCAAGACTCAGATCAACCAAATGGTGTACAACTTGCGCGAGTCGATCCAGAAGAACACTGCTGCGCGTGAAGCTGCTGAGTTGGCGAATAGGAGCAAGTCGGAGTTCCTTGCGAATATGTCTCATGAGATTCGGACGCCAATGAATGGGATTATTGGGATGACGGAGCTTACGCTTGATAGTGACCTTAATCGAAGTCAGCGAGAGAGTTTGTTACTGGTGCATAGTTTGGCGAGGTCGTTATTACTTATTATTGATGATATCTTGGATATCTCGAAGAGTAAGCCGACCATTCCTAATTTTCTCTAGTTTTGAATTTTACTCATGTTTGGTTTAGTTGAAGCTGGTCGGATGACGATGGAGCAGGTCTCGTACTCATTACGGCATACCGTCTTCGGGATCCTCAAGACGCTCGTCGTGAGAGCTTCGCAGAACAACTTGGACCTGACGTACGACGTGGACCCTGATATCCCGGATCAGCTTATCGGTGATTCGCTCCGTCTTCGACAGGTTATTACGAACCTCGTTGGGAATGCGATCAAGTTCACGCCGAGTAAGGTTACGAGGAAAGGACATGTCGCGCTTTCGTGTAGACTCGTGTTACTTGAGGAGACAACTGTGAAGCTTGAGTTTTGTGTTATGGATACGGGGATTGGGATTGCGAAGGATAAGTTGAACCTTATATTCGATACGTTCTGTCAGGCGGATGGCTCGACGACTCGAGTACGTCGCTATATGCACTACTTTCATCGTTAAGACTGACTGACTGTCGTGTTTAGGAATACGGTGGAACAGGTCTCGGTCTATCGATCTCGAAACGTCTAGTGTCCCTCATGAATGGGAACATGTGGGTTGAGAGTGAGCTCGGGAAGGGAAGCAAGTTCTTCTTCACCATCTCCTCGCAAATCTCGCAGTCGTCAATAGAAAGTATCCTAGCCAAGATGCAACCATTCCAGAAACGAACGATCCTGTTCGTTGACACACTTAATGATAGGACAGGCGTTGCGGATCGAATCTCGGAGCTTGGTCTGAGACCGCATCTCGTTAAGGATGTTGCAGAAGTCTCGGACAAGGAACGTTGCCCGCACTTTGATACAATCCTTGTTGATTCTCTCCCTGTGGTATGTCTCTATGTATCTTCCTCACGAGTTGTATGTTGTTTGCTGAGGCTGTTTTGTTTCGTCGTTCGTAGACTGAACAAATTAGGGAATACGAACATCTTCGATATATACCCATTGTTTTACTCGCTCCGGTGCGTGATTATCAAAACATGTGCGTTTATATGTTACTCACGTTACATCCTTTTCCTTATAGTCTATCCACAGATTGAACCGTATGCATACCTTCCATCTGTCTATCTCTTCCTTCTTCCTCTAATTCTCCTTTTCTTCTTTAGTGAAATGGTGTCTAGACAACAGCATCTCCTCCCAAGTAACAACACCCGCAACCGCCCAAGACCTCTCAGCCGCCCTAATCAGCGCCTTAGAAAGCAACACCGTCTCACCAGTAGCAGCTCCCAACGACGTAACCTTCGATATCCTTCTCGCCGAGGATAACCTTGTGAACCAGAAGTTAGCTGTGAAGATATTGGAGAAGTACGGACATGCTGTTGAGATTGCCGAGAATGGAAGTCTTGCGGTTGATTCGTATAAGTTGAGAGTTGCGCAGGGACGGCCGTTTGATATTGTTCTCGTACGTCGTTTTTTTTTTTGCCGTCCTTATCGTCTGCATCTAATTTCTCATTCATTGTCACCCATGTGCTGCTCGATGTTTCACGGATGTATTTTTGCAGATGGACGTATCGATGCCGTTTATGGGAGGAATGGAAGCTACGGAGCTTATCCGTGCGTTTGAGCTTCATGAGGGGCTTGACCGAACGCCGATTATCGCTCTCACTGCACATGCCAGTACGTATTCGTTTTGTGCCCCTCCGTTTGCTCGTGTTGCGCAGTCGATAGTCGTTGGTCGGAGTGCTGACACGTTTTTCCTTTCTTTCTTATCTGTAGTGATCGGCGATCGTGAACGGTGTCTACAAGCCGGAATGGTGCGTTTTTCTCATTTTCTCCTTCCGTTATAATGTTTCATACTGACCGGATTTCGCGGTTTGTTTTACAGGACGACCATATTACGAGTACGTCGTTCTTCTCTCACCCCTTATCTATCGCAATGTATCCGGATTCTAATTTGCTTTTTTGTGTGTGTGATATAGAACCGCTAAGGAGAGGAGACCTATTGAACGCGATTAACAAGCTTGCGGGTGAGAAGGCGCAGAAGCATCGAAGGAAACATCGGGCTGCTATCGCTGAACAGATGCTGCGATGACTCGCTTGAAGGAGACGGAGTCGCCTTCTTGTTTGTCTAGATTCACCCCTTCATCACCATCATTGTCCTTCTTTAATTTTCTTACTTGCTTTACGTCACCTTTCTCTTTCGCATCGCATATACAACTTCTCACGTTTACGCTCGCGCGCTTTTCATGCCACTGTCGAGTTTGAGTCGTCCACTTCCATTTTATGTTCCGTTAGCCAGATGATTGACGAGCTTTTTGATGTTGATGTTATGACGTTTTTCTTTTTCTCCTTGTTATTTTCTGTATCAGTATGTTTTTGCTCAGGATCTCATACCATCCCGTTCTATCCTATCCTATCTATCCGTCTGCCTACAACATGTTACGTCCTTCACAAGGAGCGCCGTGCTTGATGAGGTGCAAGATGTGAGATGTGGGAGATGGAGAGCGGGTGGGTGTTACAAGTCCTGAGTCGTCCTTGGATTATATCTACGTGTACTTGCTGTACATACATACAACTCATACATAGTAACATATGTTCATTTCCTTTATTTCCTCTTTTTCCCTTTCTCATCTTTCTCATCTTTTTCTAAATTTCCCGACGTCATCTCTCCATCCAATCACGTCCAGTTTTGGAACCCGGAACCCCGCCCTCCCTCGATTCATTCGCAAATACTCTCCTCTCCTCTTCACCCTTCACCCACCTGCCTTCATCGTGCCCATGCGAAGTTACCCACCTTCTACCCCAACGCCCTTGTTCTGGTGTACATACTTTCCTCCTTCCAACGTCCGAGATTTTCTTGTTCTTGCTTGACTTGACTCATTTGTATCATTCTCTTTTCCTTTAGTTTTAGTTTTTAGTTTTTCTTGATCAATTTCTAATTTGCTATATAATACTCAGTATTTCTTGACTGATGGCTTCTAGCTTGTGTGTGTGTGATTTACTCGAGCAGTACTGAAGCATCACCCACGACTGTCATAATATTAAGAACAAACAGCACATCTCTGTCAGGACTAACATCAAACAGTAATTGACAGCTAGCATCCAAGAATCCAACCTTGTCAAAGTCCTTCTGTGATCAGGCAACACTAGAAGCCACAACCTGATGCCCTTTTAGGTTTGTTCCTGTTTTGATCCAGATCATGATACTAATTTGGAGGTTATAAAAGTCTCCATCTAGCAAGTCAGAGACCTACTGTTCATCTCGAAGATAGGAAGCTTGAAGTGAAAGGGTCCGATCTCTGTTGAGTGCAACCTATAGTTCATCACTAAAGAATCTGATCGGCCAGCTAGGAGCAAAGGTATAGTAGTTGCAGTTGGGTAGTAGCACTCATTACTAGTAACCCTATGTATAGTACTGTAGTGTACTAACTTAGATACATTCATTCTATCTTATTCTTTGACTTGAGTAATGGTGGTGAGAATAACAAATACATTAGCAATTAGCAATCAGTTCCTTATTATTAGTTCAGTTCTTTTTCAGTTGTCAATAATCTTTAATTAGACCATCTATCAGTATACTTACATGCCTCTGTCAGTAATGAAAGTGTAAGTGACAGATAGAAGCCATCAGCTGTCTGATTAGCAGTCTATTGTTATGAAAGTTTACTTGCTTTTATTTCAGGCATATAGACAACTTGATTGGGCAAAATACTTGTCCTGTTGTTTTGCCAACAGGGGATCAAAACTTTGCATTTAGCCCTACAGTAAATTTTGTGACTTACAAGGCTCTATATGTAAAACTATTTATCTGGAAAGGTCTTTATCTAATTTTCTTAGTTAATGCAACTGAGTATATTCTTAGCAAGCAACTGCTTTCTTTTTAATAGTTTATGTCTCATTCAGTTACTATCAGCTCCCATCTGTTTCATGTCCTCATCACAGCAATCAGTTGATTTGAGGTACAATTGTTGGAAATGCTTGATAGAATTTTTCGAACCTTCTAATTCATGATCCATAAAGAGAGCCAGGTGTCTCATTCTATTTGAATACATTGTTAGGATAATTACATATAAAGTAATTTTCTCAATTTCTAAAATGAGGCAGATGCATTTCACCCATATATAAAAGGTTTATTATTTGTGCACACTATGATTATTCCTAGAAACTTTTTTATACAATATTTTGCCTTGAGTCCTGCAACTGCGCATTTATAGCTTTATAAAACGCTTGCTTCTGATCAAAGAAGTCATCAATAAGTTTTCAAGAAAGAAGGAAACGTTCAGCCCTGATCATCAGTGACACAATAGGAACACATAATGCATCCGGTCACAGTAATACAACAATCTCTTTATGTCAACTACACAATGCCTTCTTGACTAAATCCTATAAAGCTCTGGGACTCACTCATCACATGAAGACGCAACTGCAACCCATATTCTCAACCTATATCCCAGAGCTTGTGTCTAGACCATGTTGCTTTTGGTTAGAGACAATTCTGATCCTGGTTTGTTTCAGGATGTTGTTTCGTATTTGATGCTCGAGCGATCTTGGCAGTTCGCAACCGTGACTCTCTTAATCTATGATGCCAGTACGTTTTCTGTGTGTAAACCGCATGCTGGTACTGTGTCATAAGTCTTTCATAGTGGTGACACTAGACAAAGAGGTGCGTCATGTTTGAACGTTTGTAAGTTAGTAGAAATGACTATTATAGCAGACTGAGTTCTTCTGGGTACTGTACCATCTCAACAAATCATCCGTTGTATATAATTCGATCCTGCACTTCACAGGGGAAATCACTCAAATATCCTGTCAATTTGATTTATTTTTTAGTAAGTTGCCCAATTTTCCTGATAAAAACTATATCTGAGTAGATCCAGAATCGATATACTGGTATTTTCGGAGCAATATCACGTATATTCAGTAAGCGGGGCACATATTTGTGCTTGCATCCCTAGTAGCTAATTATTATAATCAGTGGCAGAACTAAATGTGAATTCAAGTATGTGAGTAGACACAGTGTAATTTTTGGTAATTGACCTTATACAGTTCACAGATGTAAGTAATGGCTGTACAATATGGACCTAAGCCTTTTCATTATCCTTTTCAGGTGGATACTCTGGTTGGACATTCAATATCTCCAGTACGCTACAAGATATAAAGCCATTTTCCACACTAATAAGCCACATAGGTTGGATTACTATAATATCACTCGATTGTAATCTCTACGCACCTTATCTCATTTAGCAATTTTCACTGACCGTTAATTTACAGATATTCTCATGGTTCGAGTCCTGGCCTTGTACTCGCGCCGTATGTAGTGTGTTCTTGAGTATCCATTGGTGCTAACCGTGTAATAGCAAAATCACTTTCAATATGTCTCATAGCTTTTCTCGTTTTGGAGGCAGCTGCGAAAGCTTGCCTTAGTATCTATTTATCATGGGAACAGCACGGTAAGCATGTCGCATTCATTTACCTGAGAATAAGATGCCTTAATGGACACAGTCTCCAGCGTACAAGTGGCAGAGAATATTTCGGCCTGCAACGTGAATGTTCCTAATTTGACAGTAATGATTATCGACTGGTATGAGTTTACTTTTTATTAGAAAGTTCGAGATTGACATGATGCAGGTCGGTTCCAATGGTGTACGGCTTGGTTCTCATGCTGCTTGCACTATACAAAGCTGCAGAGTACTGGAGAATGTCAGCCGGACTTAAAGGGTTTAAGCTTGTTGAGATTCTCATCCGCGATCAGATGATATATTTCTTTCTGTAAGCTGCAGTAGTACAATACTGGGGATTAAAACTGACTGGTCTACTTAATAGTGCAGTGTCATGCTGTGTTTTAAACATTATGCAACTTTATATACAGCCAAAGAGCAACAATCTAGCATCTTTCCTTGAACAAGCCGGAAGCCCGTCATTCCTATGCATCCTGGGCAGCCGACTATTCTTCAACATGAAGGAAGCCGGGAAACTTGGAGTCAACGAAGGTACAAGCTATCGCATGAAATCCTTGAGTAACATCGAATTTGAGCGTGCTGCGCCTGCCAGGAATGAAGGTAGTACTCAATCTGATTTACGGACTCTTCACATATTGACGTTCTTTTAGTTAGCATTGGCTTTGTATCAACGGCCGAGGATGTGTAACGGGTGTAGGCGTCAACAGGGCATAAACACCTGCATTATTCTGTCAAGGGTTTGGGTCGAATTTTGTCACGGTTATGGAGAAGCTATTACTAGGTGCTACCGATCCTTATGTACAAGTAGCAGCATTGGTACGATTATATGATGGAGACGTAGATGCTTGACTCTGGATTTTCTGTGTAGGACAACTCATATTAACGTACTTGCCCTGTGGTATCAGCTTCGTTCAACCAAGTTTGATATTTATAGAGATTTCTTGATATACGTGTGCATCTCAGTGTACCCCGCAGTAAGTATGACACCAGTTTGCCTATATATGCTGTGGTATTGTGACTTTTTGGAGCATTGAAGTATTCCTAGAAATAAAATCGATCTGCAGGGTGTGAAAAGTGTCCACATAAATGGTGCTCATATGGCTGTTATGTCATAGTTCTTCCAATTACTTGAGGTGTGAATGTGGATACTGTAAGAATGGATGTACTGTCAAGGCACCCTAACCAGTCAATTTAAGGGGATTTCTCTTATTATTATTTACTACAACTCCTGTACAACAAAAAAAAATTATAATTAGAAACTAAAACATCTTATCTAAAATATGTTGGTTTTATAATTTAAAAAATAGAAAAATAAATATTTTATTGATTTTATGAAATGACTAGTCAAGAAATGAGCTTTGATGCATCTGACCCACAAGTGGACACCCTGTGAGAAAGGAGACTTAGGGATATCTGTAGACACATATAATTAGTACACAGACTTGACTTCAATCCTATCCAGACCAATTTACTTTTGTCTGGGTAGAGGAATAGGTAAGTGATCTATCTAATTATATACAATCTATTTATTAACAGATTGTATACTTCTTTTTACAGAAACAGGCTCATTGTGATGACTTAGAGTCTCTTACCTACATTCTACTGTCTGCTTCTTACTCTCCTCTGCCTCTTGTTCTCCTCCTCCTCTGTTTCTAGAATTTGCTACTGTTCCTCTGCTCTGACATCCTTCTCCCCCTGATGCCTAGGTCATCAAGTTTGCTCAGCAATCTCTCTCTCTCTTCACACAGTTGTAAACATTCTGTCATCTGACATTAAAGTTGATTTAGCTCTTCCTCCTTCATTACAATCTTGTACTCCCTCTGCTATTATAGTTCATTACTATAGTAACCAATTAATACTTGTATTACTTATACATAATAACATATCTTAACTCATATGTTTTTATTATAATAATGTTTATTTTTCTACTAATACTTATAACAACTATAAGTTTTATAGTTATTAAAATAATAACTTGTTATTAATTCAAATAATTATTTTTATATTATAAAATTCAGTATATATATACTACTTACATATATAATAATAAATATTTATTTTATTTTGTAAGTTATATATGTAGAGTTATGTATAAATAATAATAAAGATAGATATTAGTAAATCTGTATATATAATTTGTTAAAATTGGACTAGTAGCAATATTTGTTATAACTTGCTTAAAAGATCACCAATTCCTCTACAAAAAAAACCATACATAATATACATATTATTACACATTAATACCAAATTATAGCTTCAAACATATTATATTTAAATAATTATAAGATATACAAACTGTGGGAAAGAATCCAGTTCACTCCAAAAGGTCAATTTTTGTATTTCTCAGATTGTAAGCTTGATATTTTTTTTCAGCTGAATTTTTTTCCTTTAAATTTTAGAATAATATTAATTGTATGTCTAGCTACACATATATAAATTTTCATAATGATTGAGCAAGAATTGAAGGAGTAATAGTAAAATTGTCCGGTTGTGGGTATTGTCCGCAAGGGGCGCCGCGACAGTAGTTAAGTGCCTGTCGTCCACACGTGCTTGTTGGAGAGATGAAAATTCGACACGACAACGCAGCACATCACACAGAACATTCTCACATTTTCACAGCTCCAAAGTGAGATGGCTTCTTAAAGTGATGTCTCTATTGTGGATCCTGGAGATTGTCTATGTCCTGGCAAACTAAAGATCTGTGAGTAAGAAGCAGGAGGACAACGACACCACGACGATCTTCAGGTTGAGGGCCGGCCCGGGCTGTCCGGCGCATGAATTAGTCGCTTATCTAACAGTCGCTTGGTTTTTCCTCTCGTTACTGAGTGCTCATAATTTTCTTGTCCATGATGCAGCTTTTCGTTCTAGCCGCCTGCTTGGACGTCGAGATGCAGGAAGATAAAGAGAGAGAAGAAAAAGGCCTTATACTAATACTGTGCGCTCGATGAACGGAGATGCATATCTTTGGCTACAACACCTCTAGATCTATTCTCATTGTCTGTGCTACCTGTGGATTGGTGCTGAAGAACGAGGTCGAGGTATATAAGGCAGACGCCCATCATCAGCTCATCAGTTCATCAGCTCATCGCCTTGCTGCTGTTGGTTGTTTTCCTGCTCTAAGAGCACGAGCAAAAGTGAGATCAACATCAGTGGCACTTTCATGCACTCTTCGAGTTTGTTTGCTCGACAAGGGAACGCGCATTCGTCCGTTCACTTGTACCTTGTCTCTACTGTTCTCGCTTCCAGGTAATTCTCCTCGTTCCACTTTTTCCCAGCTCCCTTTAAACGTCTTCGCTTACTACTCGATTTTTGTCAATTGTCTTCTGCTGTGCTATTTTAAGTACTTTGGGACAAGGCCAACGATGAAATTCTAAGGTGCTCAGATTTCAGATCACTGCCGTGGCTCCAAATTGTGCACTGACACCAGATCTATCAATGCATCATGAGTTTTCTCTGGAAAGTTTCAAGTGCATCGATCTTACGTTTCCAAGAAGCAAATTACTGTTTGATTTGTTGGACAAGAGGAAGCATGAAGTGAACAAGGGTTAGACCCGTTAGATCTAATGTATCAACATTGAATTTGACTGGCCAATTTGAGGCAGTGTTGCTTTGCTTGTGGCCACAGTAGTGATTACATCCTTGTGGTTGGGTATTAAAGATACTTAGTGTTGAAGACTACAAATAATGTCATTTATTCAGACAGGTCTTCTCACTCGGTTACTATCAGCTCTCACTTGTTCCTATTCATCACAACAATCTATTTTTGAGGTTGAGGCACAGCTGTTGTGAATGCTTGATAGAATCTGTCTAACCTTCTGATCATTGATCTGTAAGCACAGCCAGGTGCCTTGTTTTATTTATATACATAATCAATGTAATTTTCTCTTCTTTGTTATCCTGAAATGATAGGAATATTCTATACTCATATGTATAGGATTTGTTATACATTTCTAACATGATTTGCATTGTAAGTTACATTGTACAGTCTCTTCCTTGAAGCCTAGAAGCTGTACATTTGCACCCTTGTCAGAGTTCCAGTATAGAGCTGAGAGGTCTTCAATAAGTCCTTAAGAAGAAGATTGCATCTTAACCTCATTGTTGACACGATGGAAACACATGATGCATCCAGCTGTTATGATGGACCAATATCTTTGTGTCAACACAACAAAAATACCCTTTTATCTGGACACTATAAAGGAGGGGCTATTTGCTATTTGAAAACCAGAAGCACAAACATTATCCTCAATCCATTACAAGAGAGACTTTTGCCTAGACAATGCTGCTTTCACTCAGGGATGTTACAAATTCTCCAGATCCTGGTTTAGTACAGGCAATCATTTCCCAATACATGCCTCTGCAATATTGGCAGTGTGCAACCATTGTACTGTTAGCCTATGATTCTAGTGTGTTGATACGTGATTTAGCAGATTTTCTCTTAATGCTGAGTATTTATCATGTTCTAGTAATTACAATGGACAGAGAGGTAAGACATACTTAAACATTAGTGAATTAGTTGACATGACTATTGGAGCAGGTCGAGTTCTTCTGGGTACTTAACTCATCTCAACAATCCATCCCTTACTAGTAAATGCAACTGAATATCACACTATACAGGGAACTTCACTCAAAAAATCTGTTAATTTAATCTATTTTCTTGTACGTTACTCTCATTTCCTGATAAATACTTTATCTGAGTAGATCCAGAATCGATACATTGGTATTTTCGGAACAATATCGCATATATTTGGTAAGCAATGTTGTCTGCTCGCGCTTATCTGCCTAAAGCTAATTACCATGATTAGTGTTTGAGCTAAATGTCAATACAAACATGTGAGTAGACACAGTGTATTTTTGACACTTTACCTTAAGTAGTCTGCAGATGTAAGAAATGGCTGTACTATAAAAACCTGTATCTTCTTAGCAAGCTTTTCAGGTCAATACTCTGGTTGGGTATTCAATATCTCTAGTAAGTTGCAAAGTCATAAAGCCATTTGCCACACTGATACACTGTACAGATTGGATTACTATAATATCGATTGATTGTAGTATTTTATGCACGTTAGCTAATTTAGTAAATTTTCACTGACTGTCAATCTGCAGATATTCTCATGATTCGAGTCCTGGCCCTGTACTCGCGCCGTATGTAGTGAACCATCAAGAACGTCCTGGTACTTACTACATAATAGCGAAACTACTCTCAGCATGTCTCGTAACCCTTCTCAGTTTAGAGGCAGCTATTAAATTGTGCTTTACCGTCTATGGATCATGGGTGCAGCATGGTGAGCCAGTCGCGTTCATTTACCTGAGGATAAGATGCCTTACCGGACACAGTCTTTAGCATGCAAGTGGCAGAGAATATTTCAGCCTGTGTTGCAAATGCTCCAAATGTGGTGGTGCTGATTATCGACTGGTATGAATTTGCTCATTGTTAGAAAGTTCGAGATTGACATGATGCAGGTCTGTTCCAATGGTGTACGGATTTATTCTCATGCTACTTGCACTGTACAAAGCTGCAGAGTACTGGAGAATGTCAGCAGGACTCAAAGGGTTCAAACTTGTGAAGATTCTCATCCGCGATCAGATAATATATTTCCTTCTGTGAGTTCCAGCACTGGACCAGCAGTACAATACTGGTGACAAATACTGACTAATTCACTGAATAGTGCGGTGTCATGCTGTGTTTTAAACATTATGGAAATCAAATTGGTTCCAACCAACGACAATCTAGCAACACTCATTCAGCAAGCTGGAAACCCAGCATTCCTATGTATCCTGGGCAGCCGGCTATTCTTCAACATGAAGGAAGCCGGAAAGCTGGGAGTCAATGAAGGCACAAGCTATCGTATGAAATCCTTGAGTAACATCGAGTTTGAGCAGACTCAGCCTGCTGGAAGTGAAGGTGATACTCAATCTAAATCACGGAATCTTCATATATTGACCTTCTTGTAGCCAGTACTCGTGATACGATGACAGCCGAGGATGTGTAACAGGAGTAGGCTTCAGCAGGGCATAACACCTGCAGAGAGTTTGGATCGAATTTTGTCACGGTTCTAGAGAACACAGGTGGCAGATTCCCATTCTGTAACCCTAGGAATTTATTACAGAATTTAAAAGCTCTCACCTGATTGGCTGAAAATACGTTCTGAAACAAATTTTCCAGACCTAAGAATCGGGTTTTGCCTCTGGTGGAAGCTACTACTAGGTGTAACCGTTCCTTATATAGCAGCATTGGTATGATTATATGATAGTGATGTAGATGCTTGGCTTTGGGGTTTCTGTCGATCTATGCTAGATTGTGAAGCAATTGGTGTAGGACAACTCATATTTATGTTAGTGGATTTGCCTGTAGTGCCTGCTTCGTTCACCCATGTTCGATATTTATAAAGATTGTTTGATATACGCATGCATATTGGTGCATCCTGCAGCAAGTATGACACTGGTGTGCCTATATAAATATACTGTGATATTATTACTTTTTGGAGCGTTGAAGTGTTCCTGGAAATAAAATTAACTCGCTGGGTGTGAAAAGCGTCCGTATGAGTGGTGCTCATATGACTGTTATGTCCAACTTCCGTCGATCACTTCAGGCGTGGATGTGGATACCACGAGAAGTAGGGTGCCTATTGTCGACATACATTCGTTGGGGGAGATGAAGCAATAATAAGGCAATAATTGACACTACAGCACAGTACATTACGCAGAACGTTCTGGGCACAGTGAAACTCTCTCAAAACTTCACGGCTCCAAACGAGATGACTTCATACAGTGCTTTCGATGTCGTGATTCCCGGAGATTGCAATTTATAAGATTGGTGTCTGTTGAACTGAAGAGCCGTGAGCCGAAAACAGATATGTTATCGGCAAGAGGGGGATGTAACGTAAGGAGCAGGAGTACGAAGATCCTCAGGTTCAAGGGAGCCGGCCCGGACTTCCCGGCGCATGAATTTTTAATCTCGATGCCGTGGTCGCTTATCCAGCAGCCGCCATGGTTCTTCCTCTCGTTGCCGACTGCTCGTAACTTGCGGTCTTTCGCTCTAGAGACATCTGGCTTCAGGCAGATAAGGAGGAGAGGAAAAAAGAAGATATTTAATCCCGTGCGGACGGTAAACGGCGATGCATATCTTTAGCCTTACCCTCTATTCTCATTGTCTGTGCTATCTATGGCTTGGTGCTGACGAACGGGAACGAGTTATCTAAGGCAGAAGAGACGTCCATTATCACTAATCAGCTCATCGTCTTGCCGTTGTTAGTCGTTTTCCCGCTCCGAGAGCACGCGTTCGGCGAGCAAAAGTGAGGTCAACGTCAGTGGCACTTTCACGCGCTCTTCGAGTTTGTTCGCTCGACAAGAGAACGCTCATTCGTCCGTTCACTTGTCCCCCGTCTCCACTGTTCGCGCTTCAAGGTGATTCCCCTTGTTCCACTTTCGCCGGAACCTTTTAAACGCCTTGTTCACCCTACCTAACGAAACGACTCCCTACGTTTTACAATTGTCCTCTGCTGTGCTATTTGAACCAAGACCGACGAAAAAATTCCGAGGTCCTCAGATTTCAGATCACTGCTGTGGTCTAGACCGTGACGTACTCATCACCGCAGTTGACATTCTCTTGTGGCCCGATAACACTACTGCCCTTTGTGATTGAGGGAATTGATTGCTTTGTCGACGCGGCGAGCGCTGCCCACACCCACTTATCTCTGTCTGTCGTGGACAGGCGCTAACACGGTCCGTTGATCACTTTAATATAGACGACTTCTGTACTTCTGAACTATAACCTTCAGACAACTTGAGAGAAAGACTCAGTCTTACTCTATCCTTCGCGCAACCGGAGGAACTTTAACTCGGGCGTTTTGCTGTTCCGGCAAATTGTGCTCTTTAATTTTGATTGCAATTTGTTAGTCAGCAGTCAGCTATTACGACTTGACTTGCTGCAACCACTATCGACTCTTGCTTGAGTGCGATAAGCGCATCGTGACACGATGTCGGCGAACGTGTCTGGCTCGCCTAGCTTAGGGTCAAGCGAAGCCACTCCGAACACTAGCTCGAGCTCGGGTCCGAATTCCACGGAATCAAGTTCCCGACACGGCTCCCATATTAATATCCAACGCAATCCTTCTGATAACATGTCGACTCACATGGACACGGATCGGCGAGGACGAACGGCTGCCCGCCATTCATATTCTCGCTCCGATTCCCAGTTGCTGTCCGAATCCCAGTCAACTTCCTACCACGCCAATTCAGCATCAAGCGGTAGTGCAAATGGAGGTGGTACGGGTACGAAGACTCCGAGGAAGAACGTTCAATGGGCTGCGAGTACGAAGGGTGAGGGGCCGATGAACGCTGTTACGGAGGCTCCGCATCATCATTATCAGTTTCATAATCCGCATGCTCAGAGGTTTTCTCGTGAGTATGAGTATGATCGGCCTGAGAGGGAACGAGAACGAGAACGGGGTGGTGCACATGTGCATTTACTGGATGAGGAAGGTTTAGACGTGAGTCTTTTCTTTCCTTTTCTGGACTTTCTTTTTCTTTCGTGCTTTCCTCCTTCCCTCTTATTTTCTTTCGGGCTATTCCCCGTCGCGTATTTTGTCTATTTTACGAGGATGGAGTGCGATGGCGGATCGGATGGGGATAAGGCAACATATATGCACATATAATCATGTTCCACGCCGGTCCGCACGGAACAACGGATCATTTCGGGACATCGGTGTTCAGCTCCCGCTCTCATACTTGCCTTAACCTCCGTCTACTCTGATAACAGCATGGATGCGGATGTGCTCTCAGAGTTAGCAACGCGATGCTCTGCATTCCATTACATCCCGCTTTGGAACACAAAAGTTTAAGTCCGAGGAGTTCTAGACTCTGCTTCGCAAGAAAATTTGTGCTGTATCGATCATACCCTGTTTATGCATGGGCCAAGCTGTGCTTATCTTCCTTCGCCTTTCGCCTTTTCGCTTTTGTATTTTGGCGTCGCTAGCACCCTAATCGCGATACACCTTCCTATCTTATTCTCACCATTTCTAAAATTACACATTTCTTCCACTACTTGTTCATGTCCTTGCTCGAAGTACCCTCGATTATTTATATCCCGTTTATAAAAATTCGCTTCGAGCTTGCTACTCTTAATTTCTTTCGTCTTTCTTCACTTTCTGCTTTCCTGTTTTCTGTCTTTCCTTGGTTTCCTCTGTCTTCCTTCACGCTAGAAGTATAGGATCGCTGACACTAGCTCTTTTACGGTTTTCCCTTGGACCTGCTTCTATTCTATCCGACTTCTCGAACTCGAATTGGACCGCTTGACTGGCGTTGCGTTTCGCATTACGCGTCCGGGTTCCGGTTTCGTTAAACTTCGTCTTCGTTGTGTGGTCGTCGTCTTGCACACACCCTACTGTGCGCTTCCGTCTGCAACGCCACTTCATCTTACTGGACACGAATACATACGTTCTCCGGCTTCGACGCGATCGGTCTTTATCATATCGCATCTTTCTCGTTCTTTCTGTTGTTACGGCATACCATACCATACCATACCACTCCGATACTTCTTTCATTAACGCTACGCTGGACGTATCATCTACCATCGCACTTTGTTTGGTCGGCCACATCGTACCGGGTTGCGGGACGTTTGTACGATTTTGACGGGCTTCGGTTCTTCCTTCTGCATTACTCTACGCTCGTACCGTGCTCCACTCGTTCTCCGCCTACATATCCGGGTCTCCCGTTAATAATCCGACATTCACACTGCGTCGCAACTACGGATACTCGCTGTTGGTGGTACTCTTACCTCTGCATCGTATAAAATAGCCCAAGGCCTTCCAGACGTTAACTCACGCTCTTGAGAGACATCAGTCAGGCTCGAGAGATCACTCGCCGTCGAACGCGCTTACAAGGCCATACTCGCATTCTACTACTCGCCGTCGAGACTTTGCGTCTAGCGGGAGTGGGGAGAGGTCTGGCTTTAGTGCAAGACCGGAGTTTAGGTCTCGTCGTTCTGATCCACCTAGACTTACCTCATTGCCACCAAATCCATTTTCGCCTCACGCAATTACACACTCAAAGCGCTCCGCAACTGGGAACGGAGCCATGGGTTCTGGTAACTTTAACGAGTTCTTCACTCCGACGACACTCTCGCCTATTCATAGCGACGCGGGTACGGACACAGATGAGTTTACGCCCGAGAGGAACGTTCCTGGTGAAGCTATCATCGAGGCTACGGAACAACATGGACTTCCTCACCCTCTTCCTGCTACATCTGCGAACGAAACCACTGAGAGTAGTAAGCAAGGTGGTCGATTCTCGCTCTTCCCATTTCGCTCGAGTTCGAAGGATGACACCTTACCAACAACCCACCACCTCGCGTCTACCTCTGGCTCTGGAGCTGGAGGAAAGATAGGTGAAGGCGCGTATGGGACGCTTGACCCTGAGGAAGAAGAGAAGAAAAGACTGGAGAGGAGAGCGACGAAACTGGTTCGTGCACATGCGCGTGGATTTCAGTTCCTTGCTGGGTTTAAGGGAAACAAGGCTCTTGCACGTCTTGCCCCAGAGGATATTGATCCTGAAGCTCCTCTTCCACGACGTCCAACGCGCTTTTCTCGTCGAAGACCACAATCCGTACCTGCGGATAGAATCAGAGAAAACGAGATGGATAGCTCACCTGAGCAACAACCTCAGCACGAGCACCATCATTTCCCATTCACGTTTGGGATTAGGAAGAGGAAGACGAGGAAGGAGGAAGATGAGGATGTGGAGGATACCGCTGCGAATGCGAGACATACGCATCATGCGCCGTTGCCGTTTGGAAGTGGAGTGCTTGGTGCGCTCCTGACGCTGTATGATCGACCTGCAAATGGTATGAGGAGTGGGTTATCTACGCCTGGTGATAGGACGCCGAGTGGTAGCGAGCCTGTATCGCCTGAATCGGAGAGCTTCCATGAGCGAGGACTGGGTCGTGCGTACTCCGGCATGGCGAAGAAAAGGGAACGTGATAGTGATAGAGAACTTGAGAGGGAACGAGAGAAAGAAGAGCGAGGCGATTATTTTGGCAAGCATGCAGAGTCTCGCCGGGAACGCGAGGAGTCGAAGGCTCAAAAACAGATGCAGGAACTTGAGCGTATCAATACGCGGTTGAACGCTGGAAGCATGTTCGAAAACGATCAGGAGAGGGAACGCGAGCTAGAACGCGATCGTGAGCATGGTCGTTATGCGGGGAGGGAAGGACAGAGCTCCTCTTCAGGTGGGGATAGCGGACAGCTGACGCCGCCGCATCCGTTGTATGCCCAGAAAGGTGGGACACGCTCATTGCAGAATCTCAAGATAAAGGACCCGTTCCTCGAGCTTTCACGTACGATGTCTGGTGGGATCGAACGGATCAAGGAAAAAGCTAGCCCTTCAAGAATTGCGGCGCTGCCGATTCCGCGCGTTCCGTTGCTTGGAAGTGATCCCCTACCTAGCGGTGCACGGAACGCAGGGGGTGTATTTGGAAGTCTCATCGCGAGTACGGGGAATATCACTGGTGTCGCTGCTCCCGTGCCGAGTCGTATCGCGCCGGATCCGAAGAGGCCAGGATTCCATTTGAGTCGATATTCATGGGACGAAGAGGTGGAGACGGATGCACAGGCGAGGAAGAGAGCGAAGAGGGCCGCGGCAGGGTTCCGTACGCCCGGACACAGTCCTCAGGAAAGCATGCTGGCTATTAATGAATTAGGTTCCCTTGCTGCCGGCGGAGCCAGCGATCCGATGATGCTGGCTAGAATGTCGAAGAGCGCACCTACCACGCCTGCTGGGGAGCTCGCACCGAGTTTGATAATCCCCGGTGCAACGCCGAGTCCGGCTGGTGACGACTCGCCTGCGAGTGTGACCCCACTCATTGTTTCTACGCCTGGAGGAAATCTTGAGCCTGCTCCGCCACTTCCTACTCATATATCTGCGAAGAGTCTCGATGGTACGACGCTCGTTGGCGAACGGCCTTCTCATAACCGCGCGTATTCCGATACTCTTAGTCTGACTACTGTGCCGACGCGTGGGAGTGCCGCTACGACGCTTACTGCGAATACTACTCCTGGAAAGCAACAACGCAAATGGGCTGGAATATTGAAGGACTTCCAGAAATACGGTACTGGCTCGAGTGGGTGGACGAGTAGTGAGCCTCGCAGCGGTGCTGCTACACCTGACACGATGAGCGACGTGGGCAGTCAAGATCACTGGGACGAGAAACATCGCCGATGGGTCAATTCGGGTATTAGCGTGGAGGAGAAACGCAAGCGGAAGAGAAAGAAAGCGGAGATTTTCATTACAAGGCACGTTGCGGAGATTATGCAACGACAGGAGTTTATCATGAAGCTTGCGAGAGCATTTATGATGTTCGGTGCGCCGAGCCATCGATTGCCTGCACAGATCCAGGCAACGGCGAGGGTACTGGATATGGAACTCAGTTGCATGTACTTACCGGATGTGATGCTGATTTCGTTCGACGACGCTGCGACGAGTACGAGTAACATCAAGTTCATTCGTCAAGGTGCCGCTTTATCGTTAGGAAAGCTCCAACAGGCATACGACTTGTATTGGAAAGTCATTCACGATGAAGTCGGAGTTGGCGAGGCGAGTAGGAACTTGGATGCGCTGATGCAGCAACGTCAGCCCTATTCGTCCTGGCAGCTTGCGCTCTTTGGAGGATTTTGCTCGGCCGCGATTTGCCAAGTTAGTTTTGCGGGGAGCTTTATTGACGCGCTTATTTCGTTCCCGCTCGGTGTGCTTCTGGTCGTCGTTCAGATCTTGAGCGTTAGGAATGAGTTGTACTCCAATGTCTTTGAGTACGTCTATCTCATCTATTTACACGCCTAATTTATTGACAATAAATTATTTTCCAGAATTACGATCGCCACTTTGCTCAGTTTCTTGTCCGCCGTCTTTGCTGGAACGCATCATTTCTGCTACTCTGCTGTCGCATCTGGTTCTATTGTGCTTATTCTACCCGGTTTCCTCGTCCTTAACGGTTCGCTCGAACTCTCCAGTCGAAACATCATATCAGGCTCTGTTCGGCTCTGCTATGCCATCATGTATGCTATCTTCCTCGGTTTCGGGCTCTCCATCGGTGGGACGTTATACGAGAAGGTCACCCATAACCCTGTCAGCACTCCAGAAGACTACACCTGCGCAAGCAGTCATCATGAACTCGGGCCTTGGTACCAGCGTACGCCGAGTACCACCTGGGCGTTCCTCACTGTACCGATGTTTTCGTTGTTTTTGAGCTTGAGGAACCAGGCGCCTTGGAGGAAGAAAGAGCTACTGGTGACAGTGTTGATTTCATGCCTCGGGTGGACGTGTAATCATTTTTCGGCGTTGAAGTTCCCGAATAGAAGTGATGTGAGCTCGGCGATTGGGTATGTTGTCATTTCTTTTGGTTTCATGGAATATATATAGTGCTGGTTACTGACAAATGTGATTTCTTGTTTTAGAGCGTTCGTCGTCGGCTTCGTTGCCAACATTTACGGCAGGTTCTTCTCTGGAAACGCATTTGTCATCATGGTTCGTCCCCCTTTTGCTCTCTATCTCTTCGTTTTCCTGACATGCTATCCACGATCTGTACAGATCACAGGCATTCTCTTCCAGCTCCCCTCTGGACTAGGCAATGGCGGTCTCATCACCTTCGCCTCGCAAAACAACAGCTCCGGCACGACAACTTCCTACCTCTCCGGGTTTAAGACCGCACTGCAGTTGATTTCTGTATGCGTTGGCCTGACGGTAGGGTTAGGGATTTCTCTTGTGGTCGTCTTTCCGATTCAGAGTCGGAAACGCGCCGGAGGAATTTTCAGTTTGTAGAAAAAGCTCAACCCCTTCCTTCTCTGCCTTTCTTGACCTGTCTCGACATCTCTTTGCCATGTTGCACAAGTCAACAAAATCTTATTTTAGCTTCGGCTTGTTGCGAAGTTCCTTTTCTTGTTGCTTCTTTTGTGAACTTTGTTTTCTTGGCATCCCTAAAATGCTTACTGCACCTACCCTCTTTTCCTCATTCTCTTCTTTAACCCTCCTTCCTGTTCTTGCTCTACCGTTGTACAAACAAGAAAAAGTCATTGCTTCCATTGTATTTCTTGACCCATTCGCCCTTGCTCTTTAATCGTTTTTATTTAAAGTCATTAGAACAGGTTTTGTAGAATAACCAAAACCGACAAATCGACATTCACCACGGACGTGACATACTGTATACATAGAATGATAGATTATTAGATATACATAGACACCATCGCATTTTACTTAGATTTCTCTTCTCCCAGTCGCACACCTTAACCTTCCATTCTCCGAAACTTCCCTTCCTCTGGACACTTTTGTTTTCCGTGGCGTTCATGCCGAGCACCTCCAGTGCTTCTTTGCTCCACTCTGTCTACGCCAAACTTGTTCTGTCTTAATCTTATATCCTATCTTCGATCCATTTTAAACACCGTTTCTCATTCGTTGATTCAATGCATTCTGTGAAACTTAGAAAGGCGTCAAAGGACAAGTTTTCTATCACTTCGTTGGTAGATATTTGTAAACACTCTTGTTATTTGTATTGCATTTGCGTTCGGGTGTATGTATAGATGAAATATGGATTGAGAGAAGCTATTTACTGTTTCTAATTTCATTATACAATTAATAATCTTTTATATAAAATTAAGCAAAATTGTGATATATAATAATCATCGGAAATTAATGGAGAAGCATGTGGAACATGAATCATTCACTTTCCCTCATCTGTTATACTTTCGTGTCCCAGAGGATGTGCTTGCAGAAAACCTAAGAGCTGCAATTCGGGGTCATCCACTTCTCAAACATGACCTCGACATCGTCTACAAACAAGACACACATTGAATAGTTCTGCTTCATATAATACACAAGATCTTCGGTACAATAGTCAAATTTAGATTGTTGAAATCCTATAGAAGTAACAGTGTCAAAAAAAAGCATCCTTCCTGCATTTTACACCTCCGTTCATTCCTTAAAAAAGTCAATTGTCTCAACTCCAGCCGTCAAGAAAAGACGAAGAAAGAAAGGCGAGAACATCCCAACCTAGATGTAAATAGGCAAAGTCGGGTTAAGTCCATCCCAGTCGGGATTATCCACGAGGTCCTTCTCGTCGATCAAGAAGTCCTAGAAAGAATGGAGTGGAGTGGAGTAAGTTATGACGGAAAACCGAGAGCAAGATTAGGTAGGTATAGCGAAGCGAAGAAATATGAAAGTTCCCGAAAAGAAAGCAAGAAGAAGAAGGGGGAGAGGAAAAGAGGGTGACGGGAGAAGGGGACAAGTGGTGTGGCGTTCGTCGTGAGGTAGTTGAAAGAGACATTGAGTTTAAAATTAAAATAAGAGGAGGGAGCGGGGGAGGGGAATTAGGAAGTATCGGAAAAACTCACGAGAGGACAATCGACGATCGAGCCGCGTACTTCGGAAAGTCGGGCTTTGACGCGATCGAGTGGGACGTCTGGGACGACGTGGCCAGTCTTGACTTTCGGAACGAAATTCTAAGAAAAGGATGAAGATCTTGCGTCAGAACCATGACAGAGCCACCACATGAGGAGGAAAAGCGAAGAACATATGAAGAACCCAAGAACACAGAAGAAGTGTACGAAATGACAGAAAACGCGGGAAAACAGAAGCACTCAAAAACGAAGATTGAGAAGTAAAGATATACATACGTCATAGGACTTATAATCGCGCACGAGGTTCGAGGGCACTGTACGGAAAATCTCCGTGAAGATACCTCTATTCTTCTTCGCAGTGCCGTCAAATAGTGCGAGTGTTTCGTCTGCCAGCGGGTCAGCGACGAGCTCGTCTTCTCTTGTAGCAGTTTCGTCATCGTTGGGGATCGGTGCGGGACGCATGTTGGAGGTGGCTTCTTCCTCTCGGCTATTGCAGATCTGAGGAGGAATGAGGCCGAGGTGCTCTTCGATGCACGTAAATAAGATTAAGTATATTCTTGTTCAGTGAGAAGTGTGGGTTCTATTACCTTTGTAGAGGCTGCGGCGCAGAGTGGCGGCGAAACGAGCTGCCATATAACGATTACCATCCATAGTCGTCTCAATCATATCGGTATCTTCGACGACCAAAGCAATTTCCGAATCGCCGTCTCCCTATTCCCAAAACATCAATCAACTATCTCCTGGCGTCACAAGCCATAATAACGGTACCTTCTGACTGCGATCATTAATGTTCGCGGAACCCATCTGCCGAAAAATACGGGATGAGCATCGGAAAACGTTTAATTAACTTCGGACTTACGATGACACGCCTGTCGTCAACTATCATGACCTTTGAGTGAATGTAAAGTAATTCCGATACATAGCTTGATATTCAGGCATAAGCTCGGTTGATCTCGTCTTCTGACAAGAACGAAAGCAGAAAACATGTATACTCACCATCCGAGTTCCTCGTCCTCCGTCCCCAACCACTTCTCATCCAAGAGGCTCGTACGGTCGTTCAACATATGCTGGGACACAGTATCCGAGACCTCCTCATCCCCACGTACATCATACGCACCATATTCGAATCGCTCAATAATCTGACGTGCGTCTTCTTCAGTGGCCGGGAGTGGCACTTCCTCTGTCTTTGTTTCCGTCTTCTCGCTGAGTACCATACCCTCGCCTGTTGGCTCTGGTTTTTTGATGATGACTTTGTCTTGTGCTTTTTCACCTGACATGGGTTGACCGATCCATTGTCTGGCCAGTGCGACTTGTGCTTGGTAGAAGGAGACGCCGCTGCGTTGCTCCATTTGGCTGATGAAGGAAGCTGCATATCCTGTGTTAGAAAGCATCCAGAGCAAGAATATCACAATGGAGCTCACAATACGGAGCGTTGATCCTATCATACGACCGAAGATGGTAGAACTTGATATACTCCTCTCTGTCGACGAATAAGTCAAAAGGTCATAACGAGACTACGACTTCAATACTTACGGATCAAATCCATTACTACGAACCGCTTCGTAAATACTATACCCTCCTCGGTTCATAGTGCGATACTTCGAAAACAAAAACCAATCAACCAACGAATCCTTAGACATTTGCAAACGAAGGTAAATAGTAAATACCTGGGCAGCCATGATCGTCTTAATCGCAGTCTGGTCTTTGATATCTCCTGAAAAACCAGGTACCTCTGGAATCACAATGACGACTTTGAACTTCTTGCCGTCGCGAGCTGCCATGAGGATACGGTCGACGAGAGCCTTTGCTAACAGGTTCTTGACGGGTCCTTTGTCGACAGTGTTCGAGATGCTATGAGAAAATTAGACAAAATGTTCAGAGAGCGGTGTGAGAGGGCTGACAAGAATTGGTTCTCTAAAAAAATGTTAGTGAATCCTAACCGATAGATAAAGTGAGATGCATACCTATATAGATAAAGTGGTTCGCCTCCATAATTAACTGAATATCTAATCATACACAAACCACAAACCACAAACCACAAACCACAATCAATATCACTCATTACCTACTTAAACGAAGGACGAAACACGTACAAGCATTTTGGATACTATGCTCCGTAAGCACTCCATGACTCCAATCGCTCACGCTCCGAACGACTTGTACGCGGCAGTTCCCAGTCGGTGGACGGGGATAGATGTCCTGATCTGCTCCGTCGTCTTCACCTTCGGGCATGTGGAAACGTTGACGGAAGCGTCGGCCCATTCGGTGCCAGGCTTCACGATGCGGGTGGCCTTAATGCGTTGGTGATGCGAGTTAGATGGTAAAATAAATATAAATCGGTGAAGGACGGGAGGACGTACGGACGACTGCCTCGTTTGGTGAGACGTCGATGTTGTGCGGGAGGGCGAGCCAGTCGTACCGCCTAAAATCAGGGAATTAATGCATCATGTCATCTTTGACCTTGTCAAAATATCTTACTGGTCATTGCTGCCATTGTACTAAAAGAGAAAAGAAAAAACTGAGTTAATGGATTAAGATAAGACTTTCACGTGGAAATCCAACCTTGCGCTTCTTAATCTCATTCCATCTCTCTACGAAATGTTGAACGATGTCAAGAACGACATCGCCAGTAAGCGTCATATGCACCTAGAAAGAAAAAAGAAAAGACATCATAAAAACTCCATCTTCATCCCAATCCGAGGCGATAACGACCACAACAACAAAAAAAAAACTTACATCATGCCACGGCATTCTAGCCGTCTCAAGTATACTAACAGCATTCCCAACAAACTTATCCACCTGCTGGAAATCCAACACCCTCGCATTATTATAATCCTGTCCGGGGAACAGTGTCTTAGAGAAATCAGTTGGATGTGCATCGGCGAGTGGGTGAGTGTGTGTATCCCAACGACCGAAACAGAGGTCGAGACCGCCGATACAGGCGCGGTGGTTATCGACGACTACGACTTTTTCGTGGTGCGACCAGAATTCTACGTTATCTGAATATCGCACAGTCAGTAGAAGTTGATGGGTACCAAATAAGGGAAGCCGATGATGGTGTACCTCTGGAACCGATGTGGTCTGGGTGACGCATACAAGCAATGTTCGGATGGAGAGCTTCTAGAGTTTCCTATAGGATCCGTTATTTGTACGGATACAGATATTAAATTATGCATACAACCATACCTTCGTGTGATGAGAACTCATATTCATCGTTTGCGTAACCTATTTCATGTCAATTATGATATACAACACATGTGCAAGATTGATGAAGTACTGTACCTCTTTATAGACAATTACATATATCTTTACTCCCTGTTCGGCTTTCCGTTTCAAGAGTCGGTCAAGTCTCCATTCCGGGAAGTAGGCAGGTGGACGACGCAAGTAGAGCTCAGGAGAGAGCCACCAATCCTACAGAGACCAATATTATCAAGGGATGGACTAAAAATTTAAGCAAGGTAAAGCATACGAGGATGAATATACATTCTTTTGCACTGTCAAGAATTTCGGATAGCGCATACATATAATCGTGGCCATCGACATGCCTAATATCGAGAAAGATAATGATCAGAATCGAGCAGCTACGAATTATACATTCTAAGCCACCATTTCACGAAATTCTGTGACCTTTCACCCGCAAAGCTGTTGAAGCGATGCGAAGCACATATTTCTGCCCGAACCTGATCTTGTATTTTTTCCTCTTCGTCATCGTGACGATCTAAGAAATTGAACAATCAAGAACCCGGCTCAAAGATATAGCACATTTAATGTCAGAAATTCAGAAGCTTACGGTCAGGATTAACGAGGCCTAGCAAGCCAATGGAATGACGAGGACGACGCACGGGATGCCCAAATGAAAAGATGAGCTACTGATAAACGGACAAAGATAGCACAAAGAGTGCAAGTGACAGACCTTCAATTGTATCCGACGCGCGGACGACGCCTTCGTGTGCCTTTTCTGCCAGGTGCTTAAAGAACGACATCCTTGTATCTGTCCGCCTTTCGTGGTGGTGGTTGTCAGTAGACGTGGGTTACTGTAGCTGTAGTGTCTGAGATGGTGACGGTTGCGAACAGACGGACGGACGGTGCCGCTGACGGAGGCCTGTTAACCTGATTTCATCCGGGCCATCGGCCTCCATCGCCAAGCGGCTCGGCATCGTCATTTTCCCTCTCCTTTCCGTCCGTCTACTTCCACAGCCACGAGGAACAATTCAATCAACGGTCCAACAAATTCGGTCTGAGAATTCTGGAGGCGAGACAGGTGGCCGCGTGATTTTGTACGTAAAAGGACGGAATTAGCTGTCTCTTACTCTTACTCAAAATTAACTCTCACTTCTAACAACCTGCTCTCAGCTTGCAACTGTCTTTACGATTCATGCTTTTATTTAATCTCTCAACAGCCCGGGCTCTCCGCTTACAAATGTGTTACGGCTCAGGTTAGTTCTTAATCTCACTTTCTTACGGCTTGCAACTTTCTTACAGCTCAGACACTCAACGAACAACCGTCTCAGGGCTCAAGCTCCTACTTAATCTCATTTCTTAAGTTCTTACAGCCAGAGCTAGCTTACAACTGTCTTGTGAAAACTCTTACTTCAATCTCAGGATTTCAGGAAAAAGAAGGAAAAAACCAAAGTTCACTCTTAAGCCTTGCACCCCACAGTCTTTACGTACGCCTCTTGAGTCTTGAACCATGTGATGTCTCGCTGCCTTACTGTCTTGCTGCCTTGATGTCACCGAAGCCCATCAGTCTCACTGCTGCCAGACGACTACACTATCGAACTAAGTACATGCTCTACTATTCAAAACTGCCTGCTCACTGCTCCCTCATCGTTCCGTCACGACCGTTTTTTTTGGGATCCTCGTGATTCTCTCGCATTGGTCTGGGAGAACACCCGACAAAGAAGAATGGCCAGTTCTCCTTTGTTTGGTAATATCTCCTGCCGCCGTCGTCCTCCCCACTTTGTGTGCCTCTTAGCAGCGTCCGATAGCTGGCACCGACTCAGCACCAGACCTGTAGAGAAACTTCAGTGAACCGTGACAAATAGAAGCACGGGTACTTGTCTCATATTATCCGTGTGAACTCAAGTGGACACTGGATCTGGGTCTTTCTAGGTTTGGCACAAACGAAGTTAGTGAACAATTTTGGAGGCTCTTGGATTACGAAACTGAAATGCCGGATAGCTTAGCTCATTTCGGATCAAAACGTTTCCTGGTAGAGCGGGCGATCTTGGCTCCGCGCTGGTGACCGCGATGACGAAAGACTCTGGCGATGCGGTCGGAAAACCTCGATACGGACTTGCTGACGAGGGGAGTGACCAGTTCGCCCTCGTCCTCAAACCCGTACTCTGGTTTTCCAAGCTGCGAGAGCACATCGACGGTGTCGCATTGAGCGTGAAAAAAAAATCCTGATTCTCTGTCCACCTCGTACTCGGCTGCTTGCATTCGACTCAATCTGCCTATGTTGGTCAAGCTCTCTCTTTCAGTAGCCGATGCTGACTCGACACCGAGTCTGAAGAGAAACATCGGTGAACTGAAACAAGTAGAGACGCGGGTACTCGTCTCAATGTCCGCGTAAACCACAGGTGACACTGGATAGGGACAATTAAGAAACATCTGCCCTCCTCTTGTGAATAGCCTCAAACGCGCTCGAATGTCTCAGCTGGTGGACCACATTAGCCTATCATCGCCGTCGAGATTGTCCGCATTGTCGAGTTTGGTAAAGAGGACAACCTTGGCTCAACGCTGGTGATCGCGAGGTTGAGAGGCTCCGGCGATGCGGTCGGGAAACCTGGGCACAAACTTGCTGACGAGGGGAGTGGCTAGTTCATCCTCATCCTCAAAAACATACTCTAGCTTTCCGAACCGAAGGAGCGCGTCGATGATGTCGCGTTTAAGCAGGAAAAGGTGAAAACCTTGACACGGACTCGATGACGAAGGGGTGGCTGGTCCACCCTCATCCTTGAACCTGTGTTCTGGATTTCCAACCCGCGGGAGAGCGTCGACAATGTCGCGTTTAAGTGAGAAAGGTGAAATCCCAGTCTCCAATCTGCTTCACACTCGGATGCTTGCATCGGACTCGACCTGCTTCGTGGTGGCCAAGTTCTCTCGCTCGGTAGCTGAAGCTAGCTTAGCATCGAATCTGTAGAGAAACGTCAGTGAACCGCAACAAGTAGAAACACGGATACTCGTCTGATGTCGTCCGCGAGGCGACGCGGAATCTGATTCTAGAGATGCACCTCAAGAAAGTCGACTGCTTTCCTTTACACATGGTCTTAAGCGTGGTCGAACGCCTCGGATCTCCTAACGATGTTCGCAAAGTGCGCATCCTGCTCGAGAGGTAGTGGGAAAGAGCGCCAGTTGTGGGGGCTAGTGGACGACATTGGCCCGTCGTCGCTTTCGGTGTCATTCGCGTTGTTGATCCTCGTAGAAAATACAACATTGACTCCGCGCTGGTGAATGCGACAACGAAAGACTCCACTGAGGTGGTCCGAACACCTCGGCACAGATTTGCTGACGAGAGGAGTGGCTAGCTCGTCCTCATCATCAAACCTGTGCTCTGGCTTTCCGAATCGAGGCAGAGCGTCGATAGTGTTGCGTTTAAGCTGAAAAGGTTGACCTTGGTAGAGGGCACGACCGTGACTCGATGCCAATGATCACGTCGAGGAAATTCTCCACTGAGGCAGCCGGAAAACCTTGTCACGGACTTGCTGCCGAGCTCGCCCTCATCCTCAGACCCGTGCGCTGGCTTTCCAAACCGACGGAACGTATCGATGATGTCGCGTTTCAGCGGGAAAGGTAGAATCCCGGTCCCGAGAGCCAGGAGGACAACCGACTCGTTAGACGTGATGGCGTGCATTGTGCCGTACGGAATATGCAGATAGGGCTGCAGTAAATGTATGAAGTTGGGTGACGACGATAGGGTAGAATGCAAGAATCAATGGATTGTTTCTTGCTCTGCAGGCCTTATTTATAGACAAATCTGGTATGTCTCAAAACCATTGTATGTTAGCTTGAACTGAAACGCGGCAGTGGCTTGTTCTGAACGCAACTGCTTAAAATCGAGAACGTTCTAGATGTAAATAGAAGTCGGACAATGAATATTTAATGCATGTCTCAGACCAACAATAAAAAAGGCATTATGTATTGAAAGTCTCACTCTACTGTAGGCTCTACTAGTTCGGTCTGAACCTGAGAATAAGAAAGCATCCGCCATGACTGGGTCCTTTTAAATATTTAGAAATTAAAAAAAATAGATTCTTACTATATACAGAAATTACGTAATGTAAACCAATCCTTAAAATAATTTAATTCAATCACTTTAATGAATAGATTGGATTATTATTATATATATAGTAACTTTCAAATGTATCTAGTATATATTTCAGTATTTAATGTATGTATTATATTAGAATAGAGAGTTTGGAGAGTAGAGTCTCCTAATCAAGTTTAGAATAAATTTAGAAGTTAGGTTTAGGATTAAGTTTGAGATTAGGTTAGAATAGGAATAATATTATAATATTACTTTTGTCTTAGATTTAGGCAAAAAAAAATTCGTTTTTTTATTTCTATTTAATAAAGGTACAATGGCTTTGTAGTATAAGCAGTTCAACATTGCTATAAGATCTAGTACTCAATTGACTCGGTAAGTGAAAAAATTTCAACAATTATTATTACTAATTTACTGGCAAATATTGAAAATTACTTTATAAAGTAATGAACTGATATCACATATATGATCATATAATATGACTTTGATGCCTGTAAGAAGCTCATCTTACATTAGCATCAACGAGTTTTCAAGGACACAAGACATGTGTTCTTTCGTCTTTGATGCGACTGGAACGCACAACACACATGGGCATGGTAACACACTGATAGCATCTTCAAGTAATATACTAAAAATATCTTTTAGTTGGATGCTATAAGCACGGGTTCGTTCGACGCCTGAGCAGCACCATCATCAATACCCCTACTCTCAACTGCTTATCTACAGGGCATTGTGCTTAGACAATGTTGCTCTCAGTTAGAGACAATTCGGATGTCCTAGATCCTGGTCTAGTGCAGGAGGCTGTTTCAGATGTAATGACTGGGCAATATTGGCAGTTTGCAACCACCACCCTCCTAGTCTACGACACTGGTGTGTGCTTTTCCTTCGTCTATGTAACACTTCGACCGACATTCTGTATTTACAATATTATAGTGATTACAATGGATAGAGAGGTGTGTTGTGCTCGAACCTTTATGCATCATTAGCTTTGACCATTGCAACAGATCGAGTTCTTCTGGGTAATGGTTCCGTCTCATTTATTCGCCTTCGAATGTAACTGAATCCAACACTTCATAGCGACGTCGGCTCACTAAGCCTGTAAATTTGATTTATTTTATAGTAAGTGGTTAGATTCCTTAATAAATATTTTATCTCAACAGGTCTAGAATCGTTATATAGGCATTTTCGGAGCTATATCACGCATATTCGGTAAGCAACGAAGCATAAACATGATTGTGTCTATGATAGCCAATCATTATATTTAGAAGGAGGGCTGAATGTTAACCAAGGCATGTGAGTAAACATTGACTGATTAGTAATTACTGTATTTTACCTCGAATAATTTGCAGATGTAAGCCATGCGTATAAGATCTTGATATTGGTTTAATATCTTTCAGGCAAGTTCTCTGACTGGGCTCTCAACATCTCCAGTACGTTATGAAGTTACAAAACCATCTACCACACTGACGAGCTACTCAGATTGGGTCACTATAGTGTCAATCGACTGTAACATACTAACTATCTTGCCTTATCTTTTTTGCGTTTTCGCTAAAATCTGATCTGTAGATATTCTCATGATCCGAGTCCTGGCATTATATTCGCGTCGTATGTGGCGCGATTGTATGAATATTTTTGTACTAACTATACCATAGGGAAATCCCTTACAATATGTCTAATGACCCTCCTGGGTTTGGAGACAGTCTCCAAATTTGCTATAGTTGTATATGGAACATGGGCAAATCAGGGTGTGTCTGTCACATTTATATACTTCAGAGTAAGTCTGTAAGAATCCTTACAGGACACAGTTTCTAGTGTGCCACTGACAGAGAAAATCTCCATCTGCACGAACAATGGCGGCATTTTGACACTAGCAATTATTGACTGGTATTGAATTTACAGATTGTTAGCTACTCAACGATTGACATAATGCAGGACTATTCCAGGGTTGTACGGATTGATTCTCACGTTGCTTGCATTGCACAAAGCCGCAGAGTACTGGAGAATAGAAGCAGGGCTTAAAGGATTCAAGCTCGTAAGGGTTCTCACTCGCGATCAAATGGTATATTTCATACTGTGAGTTACAGGAGTACAAGAACTGTAGTAGATGCCGGCTGACTATTCACTGTATAGTGTAGTGTCATGCTGCATTTTCAACATCATGGAATTCAAACTGGATTCAAGCAACGGCTTTTTGACAGCTCTCCTTGAACAACTTGGAAACCCGTCATTCCTATGCATCCTAGGAAGTCGACTCCTCTTTAACATGAAGGAGGCAGGAAAGCTGGGAGTCAACGAGGGTACGAGCTATCGCATGAAATCCATGAGCAGCATTAAATTCGAACAGCCAGTCGAAAGCAAAGGTGAAGTTCATACTGATACATAGAATTACTATACGCTTACCTTCTTGTAGCCATTACGAACAATGTCGAAGGCTCTGAGATTGCATCACGAGCTTAGTTAAATTGATTCGTAAATGCTCACTTTTCTGCATCACTTGAGTGCCCGAAGCCTTCGCACTGCAGGGTTACGGGCTCATTCTTGTAGTATCCTAATACGGTGTCACTGTTGTAGTGAAAAGGGTGGATCATAGGAAAATTATCTAGTCGCCACGAATGAAATACTCACGCATATAACTCACACGTCAGATTGTCTCGAGTCTCTCCTAGCCAAGCACCGAATGTAGAGCTGTTTGATGAGGTTTGTGCAGACACGAGGAGAGGAAGAATAGTAGTAAAGCATGAACGAATAACATTGTATCCTGTCGATGTGTGTCGAGGCAAACAGTCCTGCTATTTAGTCCCATAAAATTTTATACAGTAAATTGCCCAGTTCTCGGGCGAGGAAGACGAACAAATGCTGATCAAGAATGATGGCCAGTCTTGGTTAAAACCTATGCATGATTGATAGTATTTTAATTGCGTTTTTTTATACATGCAATGTAAAGGAAGAGAGATGCAGTTTTAATTTGGCTAGATTTCCCGTGGATGATCATTGTTAGAGTGGTCGAGAGGCCTCCACAGGAGATACGTCTTTAATCAAACCTTTGACTATATCATTGTCGGAGGTGGACTTGCAGGTTTGACTGTAGCATTCCTCAAAGACCATGCTTGTTATCGAAGTTGGCAATGATGACAGGGCAAACCCAAATATATTTGACATCTATAACTTCGGGGCAGCATCTAGCACAAGCTTAGCTTGGAGGTGGCCTACAGTTGATGGAAAAGGTCTTATGGGATTATTTGAGTACTTTGCCAGTGCATATAAATTATATCATTGACTTGTTTGCGCTTTGTCTTTCGATGAGTATTCCCTCACAGTGGCTGACCGTCGGCAGAAGTAGCTCTGTCAATGGAGGCAAGTGTGGGGGAATGAAAGAGCAATACGATAGGGATTAAGTTAATCCCGGCGGATTAGATAACCAGACGTCCATGTGGTCGCCGCGTCTTATCACCGTTCATGCCCCGCAGTCATGGTCATTTCCCATCCTTTCCATCTTATTCCATAGTGACGGGGAACAATTCAATCTGCGGCCAACTCGAGGAGCCGATCCAAAAAACGAGGTAAACAAATTGCCGCGTGATTTTGCTAAGTTCTGTATGTAAGTTAACAAAACGAGTTACAAAACTCGCCGAATCTAGTCCCTCTGTTTCTATCAAAGCATCTTATGTTATCAAGAAGATAGTTTATGCAAGCTCTCCAGAAATCTTATGACCCATAGTCGCACTGGCCATTAACCGAAGATCTCATATGTATTTCCCGCGAATGCCTCTCGGCCATGCTGACGATGATCATCTTCTGGCAATCTAATCCTATCGAAGCTACGTCCCTCTTCCTCTGCGTCGCATGTAACGAAGACCTTATCTTTACAGGCATATACGCCTGTTCATATACTATGTTAAACACAGAGGTGACATCTAAGGGCCGAGGTTGCATCAAAACACAATTAAAATTCTGTCAATTCATGGATTTTAGCCAAGGCCGTCCGACATTCTCGGTCACCATTTGTCCGTCTTCCTCGTCCGAGAATCGGGGCAATACATTGTATAAAAGCGGACGGAACCAAATAGCAAGCCTGTTCACGCTGTCATACGCATCAAGGGAACTAAATGATGTCTGTTCATGCTTTATTGCTATTTCTTCCTCTGCTTGTGTCCGCACAAGGCTCTTCAAACGGTTCTGCGTTTGGTGTAACGTCAGACTCAACTACCGCATCTAATCAAACCTTTGACTATATCATCGTCGGAGGCGGTCTTGCTGGGTTGACAGTAGCAGGGCGTCTGTCTGAGGATTCCTCAAAGACTGTGCTTGTTATCGAAGTTGGCAATGATGACAGGACAAACCCAAATATATCCGACATCTATAATGTCGGAGCGGCATTAGGCACAAGCTTAGCTTGGAGGTGGCCTACAGTTGATGGAAAAGGTCTCATGGGGTCAGTCATCTAGACTGATAGCACAAAGGAATATTAATATTGAGTTGTTATTTGGTGTCTTTTGCTATGTTTCTCGTTGCAGTGGCCGAACGCTCGGCGGAAGTAGCTCTATCAATGGAGGCAAATGGACTAGAGGGATGAAAGATCAATACGACGCGTTCTCGCAATTTCTCAGTGATGAGGACGCGAGCATGAACTGGAACTTCGATTCGTTGTTTTCGTACATGAAGAAGGTAAGTTGAATCAAACGATCAGACATTACCTTCCCTCTGACTCATACAACTAGGCAGAGAATTTCACGACTCCTGACGCCACACTTCGAGCGTTGGGCGCGGACAGTGTTAGCGATTACCACGGCTTCTCCGGACCCGTTCACGCTGCCTTCCCTCAAGAAATGTTCACCGGACCCCAGCAACCCGCATACATTGACGCAATCACGAACTTGACGGGAATATCTCATTGTGCAGACGCACTCGGCGGGAACTCTAACTGCGTAACTTACTTGCCAATGTCGATTAACCCACAGGACGACTACCATCGGTCGTCCTCGGCAATGGCATACCTGACTCCCGTCGAAAGTGATCGCGCGAACTGGCTCACCCTGATTAATCATCAAGTGACGAAGGTCTTGCTGTCTGGAACATCGCCTAATGTTACTGCGACGGGTGTGCAATTCAAGAAATCGGACAACACAGGTGAAACGTATACCGCAAATGCTCGTCTGGAAGTAATTCTCTCTGCTGGTGTCATTGGATCACCGCAATTACTTCAGCTATCCGGGATCGGCGACCCATCGATTCTAGAACCGCTCGGGATTGACGTAAATGTCGACCTACCGACAGTTGGTCGAAACTTTAGGGATCGGACTGGAGCCTTACTCAGCCACTCCACCCAGTCGTCGTACGATAGGGGAGGAAGAGGACCGGATAATGTTTACGCATTTGTCTCTCTCGAACAGCTCTTTTCTGAGAGTGCTGGATCGAATGGTAGTATTACAGCAGATGATGTCTCTAGTCATCTCCTTGAGTCATTTTCATCCTGGGCTCAGAGTCAGGCGAATAATGGTTTGAGTGCTGATGCGCTTACCCAAATATTTGGGATCCAAGCCGGTCTGATTGCTAATAGCAGTGGTATGCAATTTTACTAAATCTCGGGTATAGTATTGACAGCTGTTAAACAGTGCCTGTTGCCGAGATTTACTTGAACAGCGGAACATCCACGTGAGTTCATCTCTTGTAACATTACAGAAGGAGCTGAGACTGCTCTGCAGCATTGGCATCAATTTCTGGCAGCTCTTACCATTCAGTCTTGGAAACATAACGATCACAGACACAAGCGTCTTTATCAAACCTAAAATCGCAGCAGACTTTTTCAACGTGGACTTCGACCTTACTGTGCAAACCGCATTAGCTCGTCTCGCACGAAAACTCCTTCAATACTCTTCCTTCGATGATATCACAGCGGGAGAAGTTACACCCGGAACTAGCGTAGTCCCAGATGACGAGAATGGAGGTACAGACGAGGCCTGGCAGTCGTGGATTCGTCAGGCTTTCTGGTCAGTCAACCATGGGATCGGATCGGCCGCAATGATGCGCCGTGATTTGGGCGGAGTCGTGGATGGGAAATTGCGAGTGTACGATACGACAAATTTGCGTGTGGTGGACGGAAGCATTCTCCCTCTCCACGTTAGTGCGCATCCAAGCTCGACGCTTTATGGAGTTGCGGAGAAGGCGGCGGATATTATCAAGTCTGGTGTATGAAATGGATGAAGTACGTGATAAGATCTGTACTCGCATGGGTTTTGTGTTGCTTGCGATAGCATTCAACTTTTACGGAACACAGTATGTCAGTAGCAGTTAATGAAAGGTCCATTTCATCACTGTCGTTCAAGCTCTTGGTTTCAGTCTAGTGCCTCTGGTCAACAGCTTAGGTCATGTGATGCTGGCTAATAACCTAAATACACATGGGGCATTTCACAATTTCTTGCCTTAAGAAA